ATATATTAAGCAGAAGCTTCGTGGAAAACGCACACACACTTTGGAGCAGTTATCTTGCGAAAGTCGGATCTGAAGATCCTTGCCGCTAGAATACGCCGTTAAATTAGTCGAAAGCATGCAAGGCAATTATCGACGCCGGTGGTGACTGGACACATTATTAACATAATTGCATCATTGTTCGTATTGAGTACAATGCATATATAAATATAAAAATTTCATTTAATAAATTTTTTCATACATTTACCCGACCACGCTCTTACTTGATAGACTGTATATTAATTAAGAATTTCTTTGGTTTTTTGTTTCAGATGAGCAAAAGAGCTGGAATCGTGTGAGCCATAGGACCTAGTTTTATTTTTCATGACGTTACTTAATATGTTATACAGCGCATATTAACAATTATTTTTTAATAAAAAAATTCTGAAATATTTTTCAAATATGTACAAATATGTAGAAAAAAAACCCTGTCCCAAAAACTTTATCTTATATTTTTTAAAAATTCGCAAAAATGGCATAAAAATTCGGCTTCTAGACTAGAATACTCCCTTAAGGGGATCCTAAAGCAAAGCTCGAACTCCGAAAAATCACTAGATGTCGCGCCGCGCGCCGCACATCGACATGTCTTTTTATACTACCGCAGCAATATCTCACGCAGCCTATGATACACGCAGTCACACATACGTGTCAATTTTCGTACAACGAATTCGTCGCGATAAAGCGTCTAAATCTAATTCTAAGAACACGACGTTGTATGTTCGTGCAAATTACGTGTTTGGGAACTATTATTTCGTACGTTCGGGTTGCAAAGCTTTCATATCAAACAAATGTTGTCACGACTTGACAGCTGAGACGCCATGTTACACTAAGAAATGGTAAAAAATATATTGATTTCGAAATTTTTGATCATTCTCAGCGTAGACTCTACTTCACAAACACGTATTAATGCATATACTTTAATCCTGGAAAAGGATTTTCCAATCCGTGAAAAAGAAAAAGAGTATTCGTTATACAAAAATTATACGTGTTTAAATCGGTAATACATATCTTTAGGATCCCCTTAAGAGTTTACTCAAATTTGCATAGCGCCGCATAAACGTATACATAAAAAAGTTATCCAATTATATTTCATTATAAAGATGCATGTAAAATGCAATTGAATAATTTTTTATATAAGCGAACAGCGAACAGCTTTTCAATGCTGTTTTGCATTGCAGTGGAGTGGGGGTAAAACGTCAGCTTTTTTTGCTGCACGAAATTGCACCTTAATACTTTATACGATAAAAAAATTGTAGGATTAAGTTTTACACTGAATAAGTAACAGTAGAAATTGTGCCCAAATGTATAAGAATTTATCCTGAATCACGCAAAAAATATTGCGCACGAGTGTCGATCTTTTTTCCTCGTGACGTTTGTCATTTCGCGAAAAATATAAAAAGAAGAACAGAGAATAGCTTCTAAAACTAAAGGTTAATAAATTCATACTTGACCTACATGATTAGCCTCGTTAATGCAAAAATGCATCGATTAGAAAATTTGTTTTTGCTGGTTTACTTTATTATTCTATCATTACATAGCAAGTTAACGGATACGATAAACCGCGAACGTCGCATGTTGTGAAAGTTTCCGCATTGGATCCAGAGACACGAAGTCGCGACCGAGACTTCATCGATTCTAGTTCGCATATTACATTCATCGTTAATGTCTATATTGCACAATACGACCGTACGTTTATTTTACACAGAAACATATATAGTTATCACTACATCAACAAAACTGTAAACATGAATAATACCTACAACAATTAGACATAAAGAATCATATAAACGCAAAAAAATTGTGAACTTCACCGCCCGTCACAATCGTCACGAAAAGACAACGAAAATTTATCAAGTACTCTTCGATAACGAAGCCCTCCCTGTCACCTGTTGAAGGATTCTTGCTATAGCGTTTTTCTCCATGGTGATCGGCAAACAAATTTAAACGGACAGATACACACTAATAAATATCGCTCGTTAAGTGCCGAGCATCCTCGAAACTAGGGATCAACCACCTCTGTCGACCGCCGTCGCGTTTTCAAGCTGACAAAAACTCACTTTGCCGGCACCGGAGTCACCCACGAGCACAATTTTCAGTCGCTTCTCGGCCGATTCCTCTTCAACGTCCGACATTGGAGATGTGATGAAGATACAGGTCGAATCGACGATAATCCTCGATGGTGATCATGCGAGCGGCATGACTCGTCCGTCGGGAAGGTCTTCGACTATAATGGCGCAGCATGGAATGTGGCAGCTCGCGTGTTGTGGCTGACAAGCGAGGTCCGAATCGACCGGCAGTGGTGGCCAGTACGCCGTCGTCGTCGTCGTTGTCGTCGTCTATTCGCAGGCATGAATAAATTAGCGAATAATCGATAATAGAATCGCGGCATCGCCAACGTGCGTACTTCGATGTTAGTAGAAGTTTTCGACTTGAAGAGTGATCCTGTACAGAAAGAACAATTTTGCTGAAATATTTCTGAAAACATATTTCAAAATTTAGCTAAGATATAAATCTGAAAAAATTTTGTTGGATTAACAAAATAATTATGCAGGGTGCTCAAGCATAACGAGCAATGCTATAATAAGTTTTAACATTTGAACAACCAGCTTGAACGTCTAAAGCGGCGTCTACAATGAGACTTTAAGGCGTAAAACTTAAGTTTTAAACCTTAAGCCGTAAAAAAATGTCCAATCATAGTCGATTATTCTCCACACATTTGACTGTGATTGGTCAATTTCTTAAGACTTAACGCTTAACCCTTTGCGGCATAGTGCGAACCCAGATTCCCACCTTTTTCATTCATAACTTTTCTCTCTAGATTCAATGTTTTCGAAGTAACATCCATGAATCTTTTTTCAATAATAGAGGAAGCATTTGGGAAGGTGACAAAAATGATTATAAATGCAATTACGCAAAATTATAAACAATTATAAACAAATAAGTTTCCAAAATCGAACTTTTTTTAGCAAAAAATTCATTTTTGTGCGAATTTTTGAGTAATTTAAAACCAAATTTCGTCCTCGGGGGTTTTTGGGATCGCCGATTACGAATTTGAAGTCAGTTTTCAAAAATCCAAAATGGCGGATCCAATATGACGGACGAGTTTTTAAAAATTAATCGGATTTACTTGAAACTCCTTACTCGGGGGTTTTTGGGGTCGCTGATTACGAATTTGAAGTCAGTTTTCAAAAATCCAAAATGGCGGATCCAATCGTAGAAAGATTTTTTTTTCCGCGGAAATCGTAGAAGCTAAAGAGATAACAAAGTGACGATGAATCCATGATAATATTCAAAGGTCGCAGTAGCAAATTTCAAGTGAATTTTTAAAAACTCGTCCGCCATATTGGTTCCCCCATTTTGGATTTTTGAAAACTGACTTCAAATTCGTAATCAGCGACCCCAAAAACCCCCAGAAGTACATTTGTCCTTTAAATTAATCTTATAGAAAAATGTATGCCGCAAAGGGTTAAAGCTTAAGTTTAACGTCTTAAAATCTCATTGTAGATGCCGCATTACATATATATATAAAATTATTTTGATGATCTAATAAAATTACTTTACATAAAATTATTTACAAACTTATTTTAAGATATAAGTATATACAGCTAAATTTTTAGATGCTTTAACAAAACTATTCTTTTCGACGACACAACGCAATAATGATGACGATGTGTGTAACGTTTTGGACGACGATGTACTTACATTTAGTGGGACACTTCTCAGTTCTTTGCTCTGTGCAAGTTTCGATGTTCTTGGACAATTTGAAAGTTTGGAAACAAATATTGTCCAGCGTAAAAAATAGTGTTTCTTATATTAAATTACAATTTGTTGTATGATACAATCTTGTTTTCTTATTAACTAATATATGTACCTTAATACTGGCGTAATGAAAATATCGTATTTTATATAAATATATTATTTTATCGCTTTATTTTTAAGCACTTTTCCGTGTCAACAGAGTCGCGGTAACACTCACAAAACAACCTGTAAACCTATCAGCAACGTGCCTTAATTAAAAATTAGATCCTTATAATTTTGCAAAAGATAGTAATTCGATACTCTGCAACACGTAATGGTTCTCACAACTGTAAGTCGATCGGCTCGCTCGAAATTCGCTTTGACGATTTCATAGTATCTTCCGTCACTGCAACAAAAGTAATGTTTTATAAATATCGCTCATTCTACAAGATAAATTTGTTTTAATCGTACCTGTGCCTAAATCGTACAACAGTTGTAATTTAAAGATTATAATTTTTGACAATATAAAATGTAACCAATAATTAACGTTTTAGATTACTGTTTACATTTTGTACCAGTAAGAGCGTAAATGTCTTTAAATCGAAATTATACAGTACAGTTTATGCACAGGTATGATTTAAGCAATTTTACTCTTTATCGCTATATTTTTTACCTGAGGCTTAAACATTTCATCTTGATACACTTCACACGTAGAATATCAATAGCTTTCTGACTTTTGTCCGAAAATCGTAAGTTTTCCGGGTCCCATCGCAACTCCAAACGCTCCAAATTAGGACAATTATTAGCGATTCCGTCCATCAACTGATCCACGTGAATGTTGACGCCCAGTCTCTCTTGAGTGCCCATCACAAGTATTCTGAAATATTATTGGAATTCTTAATTCTCAGAAAATGTTTATTTTTAAATTTAAATTATAATAATAAAAAGGGAAAGTCTTTAAATAATATAAAAGCCTTAAGGAGGTTGTAAGGCAAATGCAATATGTTAAGAACTACTTGAAAAAATTACAGACTATTTTAAATTTCATTTAATAATAATACAAAAAAAATAGAAACAATTGACCATCTAGATCAAAAGTTATTTAAATAAGTAGTAATATTTTTTAAATTTTTACTCTAATATAAATATATGAAAATGTATTATAAAATAATGATAAAAATCTCAATTTTTT